CCCGGAGGGTGGGAGAGGGCCGAGGGGGCCCCGCGCGGCTCGGGGGTGCGGCGGTTCCGGTGATGGGGAGGAACCCTGCGGGCCCCGGCGGAACCCCTGGCGTCTGCGGCACCTGAAGCTGAAGGGACGCCGGGCGGGGGCTTCTCCCTCCAACTGGGCCCCGTTGGCGTGGGAGGCAGGCTCCAGGGCTGGCGAGCTCTGCGGCGTTTCGCCCCGAGCTAACGCGCCCCCGTGTGGCCGCCGGTGGGAGTGCGCGTGCGCGACGCGAGCGCTGGGCCCGCGGGGCAGAGCGGGACTGGGACTGGGACGCAGGAATGAGCGTGCGCGGCGTGTGCGCGTGCCTGGCGTGTGCGCTGGGCCTGCGAGGAAAGGGCCTTGGTTGGTAGTACGTGGAATCGCCGGACCAAATAGCCCCCGGAGACCCTCATTTCTCCTCTGTGAAATGCGGTGTTAGGGACACTCGCCACCCTGTGCTGTTCTGAGCGCCTGCGCGTTGCTAGCTGCTGTATGTTTGTTGTGCGTGTGACCTGCGGCTGGAGCTGGGACTGGTCTGCGGGGCCTCGTTTCCCCGTTAACTCTGGAGAAACGGGAGGGAAAGGGCTGGGCTGGCTCCAGCATTCTCCAGACCCCCAAGTTAGTATTCATTATGTGCTCATTTGCTGTGGGTTATGTGTAATCACGGCACAGCCTCTGGAAGCCATGGGAGGCTGTGTGATGGGAAGAGGAGAGAGGTGAGATGGAGCCGAGGCCGGCGCACAGGCTGTGCAGCACATGCCACCCCTTTGGCGAGTTCGTGACCTTGTCTTGGGGATGGAAGGCTCACCAGCGACAGCTGAGGAAATTGTCATAATTCCTCCCCAAATACCCGCTACGCCTCTGGTCCTCGGTCCTCGGTCCACTCTTCCGGAGGTGAGCTGCCTGCAGCGCCCCGTGGATGATTGTTGATGGCGCCTAGAGAAGATGCACGGTCCCCCCTCTCCTGGCCTTCTGCGGGCAGGGCCTTTCTGGATGATCTCGTTTGACCTCATTTGAAAGGTTTTTAAAAAAATGAGTCTGAGAGGGTGACCGGCTCAGATCATGCCATGTGTTAGTGGTGGGACCGAGATGAAAAGGTAGGTCTGCCGCCCCCCGAGCTACTGCTCATTTTGTCAGTTGGGTCAAAGCTGGTTCCTTATTAAAAGATCTTTTTGAAAATTGTGAGCAGGTTAGAACAAACATTAAAAATATTACCTGGTCGTAAACATCCCCATCCCTTTTTTTCAGGGGTTTCTTGGATTATTTGACCCCAAAGGATTAATGTTGCTCTCAGGTAAAGAGATAAGCAATATGGCTTGAGGGTTTCTTTTTCTCCACAACATCAGTTTTAACAAATCCGTGGCGTTTCCTTCTTTAGATTACTGTTCTATGTTAAACGCATCTTCTTATGTTTTTAATTTTTGTGTCACAGACCCTAAATTGGTAATAAATCAGTAAGAAACAAATATTACATTCACTCAGTGACAAGTGTCATGTCTAAGCTCAACGCGTTTGGGAGCCACACATGGACAGGTAAGTATCCTGCGTGTGGAGCTGTGCAGGCAGGTCAACCCGGGAACCGCACGGCAGGCCATGCTCTCCTGACTTCCTTCTTCCTTCTCCCTTAGCACTGCCTCCTCCTCTAAGAACAGAAAATGAACAAACCCCAGGTGAGTGTTTTGTTTATGTGTTCCCGCTTGTTTTAAAATGTGTTTTCTAAATTTTATAAGGGTTCATATTTTTAAAATGAAAAAGTAGAAATAGGCAAAGTTTTACATTAAGGGAAACGTAACAAGAGAAGTAAATCCAAAAGGACAGTTGGTAAAATCAGGGGCACGATGTTTAATTTTACAGTTACCCAAGTGATTGTAAAATTTTCTCTGATCTTCCTAATGACAACACTGACATACATGGATTCTGTTGCCTATAACCATTCTTTGGTGGAAACAGCAAGGGCTAAGGCAGAACTCAGCGGGTAAACTTTTCAGGAGACCCAACAGTGAGGTGTGCGTCCACAGCTGTTCATGGTCCTGCTTGATCCAGGAATAAAAACCTGGAAGATCTGGCTGAATGGAGGGACTTTAATTCCCCAAATAACTCCCCATAAATGGTTGTGTCAGCGCGTTTATATTTCTAGCGTGAGTAGTAGACAGCTCTGACGTTCACTTCTGCATTTGTCATTTACATTTCAACCTAATGAAGGCAGTCTTGCTGCATCACCACTGCACCTTGAATCCGTTCTGGAAAGGCCACCAACGTGTAGTAAAACCCAGCTTTTGTCTTTGTCTTACTTGCCTCCTCTGCAGCACTTGGCTCTCTGATCTATCGTCTGTTTTGAAAGTGTCCTCCGTTGTCTGTGACACTGCCCTCCTAGCTGTCTTTACCTACTCTGTCCCCCAAGAAGTGTCTTTTTCTTTTTTTATCTGTTCTTGGTCCATTGCTCTCCTCAGTCTACCTATTTTTTATGACCGGTATTGCTTTTTATTTTTTTTTAAATAAAATAGTTTTGAATTGGTGATATATTAACATGGTTAAACATGTGATGTAGAAGACAGTAACTTAAAAACTCACACTTCCATCCTCTCTGTACCTGATGCTCCCTCTCTGTTTGGTGACATTTATTTATCACTTAAACTGAGACGCTTTCACTGAGAGTGACAGAGGTTCTACAAACAATTATGCTGGGACAACTGGCAGGTGTTGGAGCAGTTCCAGACAAACTGGAGTGCGTGGTCACCCTACTGTTGGTATCCATTATTAATGATTTCTTGTTTACCTTTCAAGTGTTTCTTTATTCAATTAAAAGAAAATATGCGTGCATATTCTTGTATGCCCTCTCTATTTAAAATGCTTCCTTAAATGCTTCTCAAATTTAGATGCATCTGTACATGTTGTTAAAATGCAGATTTTTGATGTAGTTAGTAGAGCTGGGTGGAGTCTTGAATTCTATATATTTAATAACCACCCAAATGAAGCTGATTCAGCTGTTAAAGTTACCACACCAAATAGCAAGTCTATACACTATTTTCCCTTTTCGGCATTTTCTTTTACCTTTTTTCATCCTGTCCCAGGGAACTCTATAACAGAACATGGATTGCTGTTTCTTTTGTGTTATAACTGTATAGTAATTCAATTGTGAATGTCCCATAGTTTATTTAACCAGTTATTAACTATTTCCAATCTTTTTCTGTTACAAGCCATGTTTTAATGACTAACCTAGTAAGTATAGATTTATTCCATCAAATAAATGACCATAAGTGGAGTTGTGAGATCAAAGGGTGAATACAAATAAACAAACTTGATCAGCTTGGTGGAATTATAATATTATTATATCCCCTTTATACTACATGAGAGTGCTTGTTTCTCCTCAGCTAGTTTTCATACACTATGTGGTTCAACTTCTGGCAACTAATAAGTAAAAAGTGATATTTTATGTAGTTTGCACCTGCAATTTTTTTAATTCTGAGTGAGGCTGAATATTTTTTCATGTATCTAAAAGTTGTCTTGTATTTATATTTCAGTGAACTATCTGTTCATACCTATTGCCCATTTTGCTCCTAAGTTTCTGGCTTCTTTTTTTCAGTGGCTAGTTAGCTCTTTATTTATATTAGGGATACTAATGCTTGTTTATTATATGCGTTACAAACTATTATTTTTTGGTATATCATTTGTCTTTTGGTAATTGCTCTGGTTTCTTTTATTGGAACCAAGATTGGGAGGCTATTGCTGCTGATGTGTCATTGCTTGTAGACACTCTCTCAGCTGACTGAACAAGGAAATAGCTGTCTATACTAACGCGCATATATATATATATATATATATATACACACACACACACACACACACACATACACACACATACATAGATATATATGTATTTCAGTATGTAACCATCTGTATCTATAGTAAGTATTAGTCCACATTGATGTCTCTTGCTGTATTCATTGCCACATGGAACATTCTATCTAGCTGTCTCCCTTTGCTTGTCTGTATTCTCCCACACTAACAATCAGAATCTGGCTGCCACCATTCGAATTTCACTTAATTACTTAGTTTCAGCGTACATGTGTAAGTGATTTTAGAGTTCTTTCCTTCCAGCTTTTGGCATCCTGAATTAAACTTCTAGAAACATTCACATGTAGGTTTTTGCATGGATGTAAATTTTTGAACACCTGGGGTGTGAAATTGCTAGATCATGTATTAAATAAGACTGTTTCTTTGTGAGAAACTGCCAAACTGTTTTTAGGGGTGAGGTGAGTTGATGAGACTCCTCCTTTGTTGCTTTGCCCTTCCAGCAATGGTGACCAGTGGACCTCCATGGAGTCCCCTCTGTGCCTCCACCCCTCCCTGCGATTAGTCCCAGAGTGCACCCTTTGCTCAGAGAAAAAGTGTTTCTGTAGTAACATTTCTCGGGTTCGCAGATAATGTGCTCTGCAACCCAACACGAAGGGTGAGGGGAGGCGAGCTCTGGGTGGTTTAAGGAAGGTGGTCAGGCTCCTGGGCTTTGTCTGGAACTCTCCGTCTGGAAAGCCAATGGCCAGACAACCATGGCCACATCTCTGTGCTCTGTCCCCGCCCTGGACACTGGGCTCAGCTGAAGCTCATGCTGCCCCTGCAGGAA